TCAGCTTCATGAAGCAATAGATAGCAATAAAGATGCTTATTTAATTGCCTATGTCCGATTTTGTGATAGTATATCGGCAGTAGAACTACTTTTCTGCAAACCTATAGAACTCAAAGTAACAACACTCGCTTTGTTTGATGTTTTAAATGAGGCAAAGAAAGAGTGGATTGCATTGGAATATGCACCGATGATGCTCGTACAATGTCTGGAAGATTTCAAAGTGTACAAGCACTTGTGAAACAAAAATCTTCGGAATGTATCTAGACCCATTTCATGATCCACATAGAGGCTCTGGCTTCTAAAGAAATGAGTCCTGGTCTCAACATTGTGCTAACGACGGTTGTAACTGTAAATTATATAAAAATGAGACCCCTTACTTCAATAATCTTTAATGAACTTTGCAAAGATATGGGTGCAGAACTTTCGATGTTACTAGATGACTATCGCGTGGGAAATTTTTACAAAGTATTTATGAGTTAAAAGAGCAAATTGTTACTTTTCTAGAAGAGGAAAACCGCCAGGAGGTCGAAAAGTTTTGAGATGCTATTTGTGATGAAATTGAGTAGGTAGCAAGTTACGAGTAGGCTAGGGATCCATTTCGAACTACTCCCGACGGTCTCTCAACTGCAAAAGAAGAAATCTTCATAGACTTTACTGCAAGATAATTTGGTAATAAATCTCTCTTTCAATTTTGGGCGGGAGTGGATGATGCATTTTATCCACTGTAAAAAAGATCATTTTCTGCGGTGGCTGCTTTAAATATAAAATATAGCTCTCGACTAAATATAGACAAAGAACTGAGAGTGGCTATTTATAATATAAAACCTTCTTTTGAAAAACTTTGCTGTGCGAGACAGGCCCAAGTGAGTCACTAATAATTATTAGAGCTACTTTTAATTTAGTACTGATGAGTTTATTTATAGTTTTATTTGTCAGGTGAGAGTACCTAAGTACTGATACAATCATATTTATAATAATTAAATATTATATTAGTTTACGTGTACTGTACTTAGTTAATTTTTTGTAATATCAGAATGAATATCATTTTGCTTTTCTTTCTGTGAATTCATTTTTTTTTTATTCGTAATTATCGTTTTTTTTTATTTTGATGTGCTGACGCCCTCACGTAGAGTTATGGCGTCCCCCTACTGGGGCGCGCCTCTTAGTGAGTTTAAAAACGATAAAGCCACTGATTATTCTCTATGGAAAGCCATAGCTACTGAAAAGGCCCACTATGCAGAATGCTCCAATCAGGAATACATATGGTAGCTGGGCTAGAAATAACATGTATTGGATTTGTAGATTACCAAAAGTTGAACTCAACCTAAGGCTCGCTTACCAAGTGGACTATATCCTTTCGGTTTTCGGTGCTAGCTGCAAACATTTCCATACGGATAATGATATTCCAACAACTCTGTAAAAAACAATTTATTGTGCAAAACATTGCACAACTTTTAAATTTTTACATATTTACACTACACTTTTATTTAAAAATACCTAGAAGCTTAACACTGCCTGAGGGTTCACATTTTGTTATAAAATGTATTATTATTCGAGTATCTTTGCTCAGAGAACTATGTATACATAAAAAAACACTGCCATCGTGTTTCTATTGAAACCCGTCTGACCTCTATCGAAGTACAAACCGATCCGGTCCTTTTCACAGTTCAAAGAAGAGAGATGCATATATTTGCCAGCGCCAAGTTGTTAACCTTGAGACTTCGTTTTACTTTCAAAACAAAAATGCATACACACGTATGCAATAAACAACTGTGCATTGAGCACATGATTATCGTTGAATTTACTATTTTAAAATATATGTTTTAAAACAACATACAAAAAGTTAATAGATTCGCAGAGCACTTGCAAAATAGCTTCCAACCAAATAAAGTAGAATTACCGAACGAAAATCTTTCAGAGAAAGATAGCTCAATTATCAGACAAACCTCTCCAAAGGAAATTGTAAAAGATATAAAAACAAATATTTTTCCTAAGGATTTAATTACAGAAGAAATTTTTAAACAACTTTGAAGAAAGCCATAATTAAACTTACACACCTGTTTAATGCCTCATTCAAACTAAGGTATGTCTCTAGGTTATCGAAAGTAGCTAAAGTCAATATAATCCCCAAACCAGGAAAACCTCCAAACGAAGTTTCGTCGTGTAGGTCAATATCTCTATTGCCTATCGAAACTATTTAAAAAATACTAATGAAAAGACTGGAAATGAAACTAATTCCAGATTACTAGTTTAGCTTTAGAGAAAATCATTCAACTATAGATCAGGTTCATAAAATTTCAAATGCGATTGAAATGGCATTAAAACAAAGAAGTCTGTTCAGCCATCTTCCTCGATGTTGCGCATGCTTTTGATAAATTATGGTATGATGGCTTAAAACATAACTTGAATATGCTACTTCTACACAATTTGTATCTGTTATACATTTGTGACATACCACAACTAGAACAAGACACAATACTTATGTTTGCAGATGATACTGTCATCCTAGCGATAGGCAAAGAACATGAAGAGGCTGCAAATTAACTATAAACATCAGTTAATCAAACAAATAATTGGACCAAAAGATGGCGTGTTAAACTGAACGAAACCAAATCTGGTAATAATAATTTTACCAACAAAACGAACACCAACATAAATAATGCCCAGATCCAGCAAAATATATAAATAATACATTAGATGCAAGACCTAGCTGGAGGACAAGAGTTAGATATAAAATTCAAGAAAATGTACTGGTTATTTGGTAGGCATTCCAGCCTATCTACATATAAAAAAATTCTATTAACAAACAAGTTCTTAAACTAATTTGGACCTATGGCATTTAGCTCTGGGATTATGCCATCTACAGTAATATTCTAATTATTCAGAGGTTCCAGAACAAAGTATTGAGGAACATTGTCGATGTTCCTTGATACATTAGAAACAGCGACCTTCATCGAGACCTTCAAATGGACCCTGTTGACCAAACTATCACCAGATTCGCTAGGAGTCACGAACAACAGCTCCACCAACATGTGAACGTTGAGGCGATCCAGCTTTTTTGACAACACGAACCTGACAAAAAGACTTAAGAGAGTAAAACCTTTTGAGTTAGCCAAGTGATTGTGTTAATAATAAAGCATTGTGCGGTTTAGTGTTGCACGTTAGTTTAGTGTAATTAAGTTATCAGACTCTAAGGTATACTTTCGAGTGGAACTTTAATTTTTAAGATTGCAACCCTAGTTATGTTAGGTTATAACAAAATTACTCATTGATCAACTCTTGATCGGATTGTAATATTAATAAACGTCCGTTTTGGAGTGTTTTTTTACAAAAAAAAAAAAATTGGATAAGAACAAAATGTCATAATTTTGAACAGTGTTCTGATTTTAAACCAGTTTTAACGACCCCCTTCACGCCATACAATATCAAATGCTTTTTTGATATCCATGATATCTAGTTGAATTAAATTCAATATTAAATGCATTTCAAGTTTGCTGCTTATGATTTTCTCGAAATTCTTCCCAATCCCTTAAAGGGTGCGTAGTTACTGGTTTTGGAATGATCTGTATTGGGTTTAAATAATAATTTATGTTAGTATAAGCTACATTTGACGGCAATTTAGAAATGATTCCAGTAACATCACTATAATGGTATATGTATATGTTAAACAAAATTATAGAAGTTCGAATTATACAATAAAAATAAAAGCGGTCCCAGAATAGACCTCTGTGGCACACTCGTATTAAAAGGAGTCCTTCAGGCTACGTGAAGTTCTCGATCTGACTCACATCTGGCCTCTTCAATCAGATCTGCGACCTTTCCACATATTAAATATTTTTAACTGCACAGGCTGAAGGCCATGGCAGGAATTGTACCGTATGGGACGGTCGTTTACTTGAGGTTTATCGACCACAAAGATAATGTCTAGTAAGGAATATGATTGTGAAACAAAGATAAATTGAGTTCGATAAGCAGTGGTGTTCAGTTATCTTTATTTTGTGGCCATCGAGTTACCAAAAGTAGCAGCTAATCTAGCTTTGAATGGAATGGAATGCGTCTGGAAAATGTGTAAATGTAAACAGCAATTTCCTTACGAAATTAAGGAATCCATCCACTTCAATTGTTGATCGGGGTATTTTAATCCGCATAAATCTGAATAGTTTGAATCGTCTTAAAAAAACATTTCAAAGAATGTTATTGAAATATTATGTAACAGTAAAATTTTAATAATAAACTAAATCTTTCCTATTTTCTGATTTGTTTCCGGAATTGATTGCAAGTTACCATTGTAACGAAAAAAAAAAAAACAATTTTCTGATTCGCTAAAAACGCTGGCAGTAAAATTTATTAACATGTGTCTCATGGCTCTGTAAAATCACACGATCCGCCACTGGCTGGATTGCTTTTTTTAACTAGTTTGTTTCAGTACTTGGTAACTAAAAATAATCGTATAACCTTCGCCTTTATACAAAATAAAAACGTTTAAATGATAAATAATAAATTAAAAATATGTTTAATGTTATTTCATAATGTAAATTTCAGTTGTAGTTTAGGTAAGTAAGTATATCGTCATTTATCGAAACTGATTAGTTCAAACTAGGTATTTTAGTATTCGTTTAAAAATATTTTGATAATATGAGAAGCCAAGAATATTTTAAATACGACATTAGGTAGACAAACAACTTATAAATATGTACTTAGCTAAAAATGACAAAAAAATTGTTGGAATATAAGCAGATACACGCAGTCTACGTAATATATACTTGCGTGCACAGAAATCGGCCCACTGTAAACTTTTGACTTTAACTATATTTTTTTTTAAATTATTATTGTTATTAATTAATTACTAGACAACATTAAAGCATATTAAATTGTCTTTCACACAGCATATTTTTTTTTATCTGATGAATAATTAAAAAATATATATAAAGTTAAAGTGGCCGATTTCTATGCACGCAAGTATATAAAGAATATATTTAAATAATAAATCATAAACTAACCTTCAGGTGATGAGTCAGGAGAAATTACATCCATTGTTTATAGATTATGAGAAATACATTAACATTAAACTAAATCATAAAATCACATTATCACAAACTTATACATCGAGGTAAAAACTTCATAACAAACTAGAAACAGAAAACTGATATGATAACAAAACCCATCCACATGGTCATCAGAAAAGATAAGTTCTGAGCTCACGCTAACATCGATGAAAAACGAGGTTTTTAAGTTTAAACGGATGTTCTACAACACAAAACAACACAATAACTACAGGCAACGTGCAAACGTATTAATAGAAAGGTCAATCCCGTGTTGTGGTGAACTCACAATAGGAATCATTGGAATGAATATACGGGTATTTTACACGGATAAACTGATATAGCAGTGGCGTATCTAGAAGAAAGCGGGTTTGTATACTCGTTCATACATAACGCTAGGTTTTATAATTTATAATAATAACATGATGATTTCAAAAATCCCCAAACCATATAAGTTCGCTTTACAACATGCATTACGTACTATTTGTCTCAACTTATGTGGGTACTTGACAAATAAAAATTTATTTCTCCAATTTTTACATATAAAATGACGTTTTTTGTAATCACAGCATGCAAGTGGCAAAATAATCTACCTACTTCATGTAACCAGTTACATAAAGTTCGTCCTATATGTGACTTACTTGCCGTAAATGACGAAATTAAAGTTATTGAAAACATTTTTCATTGTCTTATATCATCTTTTTATGGAAGTATACATCAGATTTGGAAAGTTATTTGTTAGGGTGGCCAAATTACAATTTTCAATTATCTTCTTTTTTAGGTTAGACATTAAAATAGTTAAACAAACATTGCAAATAGTGCAATAATAGCTATTTATTCAACCAGTTAGGAAATGCCTTATTTTATGTAACGAGGGAATATTTGCGGAACGAGCAGAGCGAGTTGTTACATACAATATTTCTAATTTTGAGTAGAATATTTATAAAATTAAGTTTTGGTTTTGGTAAAACGGGGCCGCATCGCACAGTTCGTAGACAAACCGGTGGTCAAGTTGCTATGGACAGAGGTGTGATGTCACAGAATGAAAAATCGAGATAACTGAAAATGTTCTGCTGTGTATCGTACATCAGTTTTTTAAAAATCTAATATTTTATTGTTATTTAGTGGTGTTTATATTTCTATTTTTGAACTTTGTTCTAGTGTTAGAGTTTTTTTTTATTATCAGAAGTTTGATTTTTTTAAAGTTAAGCTATAAAACATCAAGGAAAAATGATGTAATGATTTTCAAAAAATATCAAACAAATTACTTTTTATTTGAATTGTAAAAAAATATGATTGTGTAAATGGTTCATTTTAAACATTTAGGGTTAAAGGACGGCCTCCGAGCCGAATTCGGATTACACTTTATTTATATCCTAAAATATTTTGAAATTTTAGGAAGCCTGGAACGAGATGTAGTGTTGCTGTTGACAAACAATTTTTACACACGAAAATCATTAGAAGAAAGGAACCGTAAACTGAAATTAAAAGCTGATGGTAACATTTTAGAGTATTATTCTGCAAATATCATTCAATATTAATAAATTAATGGCAGCTTTGTCCATTCTACATTTAAAAGCAGATGAGATGGTTTCTTACAAGCATTAAACACAACCGAGCGCAAGAAAAATCAAAGGGCTTTACACATTATTAAAAGGAAAAAAACAAGGACCTTTATGAGTTCAGAAGAAATTTGTAAAGCATTCACGATAAGATATTTGAGTAAAAGGTGCTATCTTTACCTCAGAAATATTCTAAACTATCCCTTGCTGGATATTTCAACTTTACAAAAGTGCGCTACTAAAATAAATGTCGTTGTCGTTGTCGTTGTCGTTGTCATTGTCGTTGTCGTTGTCGTTGTCGTTGTCGTTGTCGTTGTCGTTGTCGTTGTCGTTGTCGTTGTCGTTGTCGTTGTCGTTGTCGTTGTCGTTGTCGTTGTCGTTGTCGTTGTCGTTGTCGTTGTCGTTGTCGTTGTCGTTGTCGTTGTCGTTGTCGTTGTCGTTGTCGTTGTCGTTGTCGTTGTCGTTGTCGTTGTCGTTGTCGTTGTCGTTGTCGTTGTCGTTGTCGTTGTCGTTGTCGTTGTCGTTGTCGTTGTCGTTGTCGTTGTCGTTGTCGTTGTCGTTGTCGTTGTCGTTGTCGTTGTCGTTGTCGTTGTCGTTGTCGTTGTCGTTGTCGTTGTCGTTGTCGTTGTCGTTGTCGTTGTCGTTGTCGTTGTCGTTGTCGTTGTCGTTGTCGTTGTCGTTGTCGTTGTCGTTGTCGTTGTCGTTGTCGTTGTCGTTGTCGTTGTCGTTGTCGTTGTCGTTGTCGTTGTCGTTGTCGTTGTCGTTGTCGTTGTCGTTGTCGTTGTCGTTGTCGTTGTCGTTGTCGTTGTCGTTGTCGTTGTCGTTGTCGTTGTCGTTGTCGTTGTCGTTGTCGTTGTCGTTGTCGTTGTCGTTGTCGTTGTCGTTGTCGTTGTCGTTGTCGTTGTCGTTGTCGTTGTCGTTGTCGTTGTCGTTGTCGTTGTCGTTGTCGTTGTCGTTGTCGTTGTCGTTGTCGTTGTCGTTGTCGTTGTCGTTGTCGTTGTCGTTGTCGTTGTCGTTGTCGTTGTCGTTGTCGTTGTCGTTGTCGTTGTCGTTGTCGTTGTCGTTGTCGTTGTCGTTGTCGTTGTCGTTGTCGTTGTCGTTGTCGTTGTCGTTGTCGTTGTCGTTGTCGTTGTCGTTGTCGTTGTCGTTGTCGTTGTCGTTGTCGTTGTCGTTGTCGTTGTCGTTGTCGTTGTCGTTGTCGTTGTCGTTGTCGTTGTCGTTGTCGTTGTCGTTGTCGTTGTCGTTGTCGTTGTCGTTGTCGTTGTCGTTGTCGTTGTCGTTGTCGTTGTCGTTGTCGTTGTCGTTGTCGTTGTCGTTGTCGTTGTCGTTGTCGTTGTCGTTGTCGTTGTCGTTGTCGTTGTCGTTGTCGTTGTCGTTGTCGTTGTCGTTGTCGTTGTCGTTGTCGTTGTCGTTGTCGTTGTCGTTGTCGTTGTCGTTGTCGTTGTCGTTGTCGTTGTCGTTGTCGTTGTCGTTGTCGTTGTCGTTGTCGTTGTCGTTGTCGTTGTCGTTGTCGTTGTCGTTGTCGTTGTCGTTGTCGTTGTCGTTGTCGTTGTCGTTGTCGTTGTCGTTGTCGTTGTCGTTGTCGTTGTCGTTGTCGTTGTCGTTGTCGTTGTCGTTGTCGTTGTCGTTGTCGTTGTCGTTGTCGTTGTCGTTGTCGTTGTCGTTGTCGTTGTCGTTGTCGTTGTCGTTGTCGTTGTCGTTGTCGTTGTCGTTGTCGTTGTCGTTGTCGTTGTCGTTGTCGTTGTCGTTGTCGTTGTCGTTGTCGTTGTCGTTGTCGTTGTCGTTGTCGTTGTCGTTGTCGTTGTCGTTGTCGTTGTCGTTGTCGTTGTCGTTGTCGTTGTCGTTGTCGTTGTCGTTGTCGTTGTCGTTGTCGTTGTCGTTGTCGTTGTCGTTGTCGTTGTCGTTGTCGTTGTCGTTGTCGTTGTCGTTGTCGTTGTCGTTGTCGTTGTCGTTGTCGTTGTCGTTGTCGTTGTCGTTGTCGTTGTCGTTGTCGTTGTCGTTGTCGTTGTCGTTGTCGTTGTCGTTGTCGTTGTCGTTGTCGTTGTCGTTGTCGTTGTCGTTGTCGTTGTCGTTGTCGTTGTCGTTGTCGTTGTCGTTGTCGTTGTCGTTGTCGTTGTCGTTGTCGTTGTCGTTGTCGTTGTCGTTGTCGTTGTCGTTGTCGTTGTCGTTGTCGTTGTCGTTGTCGTTGTCGTTGTCGTTGTCGTTGTCGTTGTCGTTGTCGTTGTCGTTGTCGTTGTCGTTGTCGTTGTCGTTGTCGTTGTCGTTGTCGTTGTCGTTGTCGTTGTCGTTGTCGTTGTCGTTGTCGTTGTCGTTGTCGTTGTCGTTGTCGTTGTCGTTGTCGTTGTCGTTGTCGTTGTCGTTGTCGTTGTCGTTGTCGTTGTCGTTGTCGTTGTCGTTGTCGTTGTCGTTGTCGTTGTCGTTGTCGTTGTCGTTGTCGTTGTCGTTGTCGTTGTCGTTGTCGTTGTCGTTGTCGTTGTCGTTGTCGTTGTCGTTGTCGTTGTCGTTGTCGTTGTCGTTGTCGTTGTCGTTGTCGTTGTTGTTGTTGTTGTTGTTGTTGTTGTTGTTGTTGTTGTTGTTGTTGTTGTTGTTGTATTTTTTTTAAGTAAATTACACTTTTTATACATCCAATAAGTAGAGACTTTCAAATTATATTTTTTCTTCTGAAATCCAACAAACCCTTGTTTTCTTCTATAAAATTATGTGTAACTACTTTTTACTAAAAACTTCCTGTAGCAAACCCTTTTTTCAATAAGAAACTATATTATCTGCTTTTAAATGTAGGGTGGACAAAGCTATAAATATTTTAATAATTGTGAATGATAATTCCAGAATAATGTTCTAAAATCTTACCATTAGCCTTTAATTTCAGTTTATGTTCGCTCGGTCACTTTCTTCAGATTCTTCTAAAGATATTTGTGTATAAAAATGGTTTGTCTACGGCTCGCTCCAGGCTTGCTAACATTTCAAAATATTTCAGGATATAAACGAAGATTCGGCTCGGAGACTGTCCCTAACCCTAAATGTTTAAAATAAACCATATTAGATTTTGCTTCAGTTATGTGGCTTGGAAATTATCAAACCATTTTGCAAGAGTTAGAGAAAATACAAAAATTCTTAAGATATCTTTACTTTAAAAAGTACCAAATCAGACCTGGGGCCTATTTCATAAAACTACTTTGCAACTTTTCACTTTGCACTTTGCATATTTTACTAAATGTATGTTTAATAAAAGAGAAATTTGATGAATTAAAGTAAAATTTATAAAGAAATTTAAATTGATAATGAAAAGTTAACGTAGTTATTTTATGAAACACAAATATTTTGTACTGGTAAATTTGCAAAGTGCAAAAAGAAAAGTTAAAAAGTAGTTTTAGAACAGCATAATTAAGAATAGAGTTTAAAATACCTTCTCTTGAGACTAGACGCAAAATCACCTTATTTTTGTATAAAATAATCAATAATCAAATATGTTCCTCAGATCTCTTAGCCCTAATACCATTTTGTGTTAAATCACGTCCAATGCGTAACTCAAATATGTTTATTGTTCCTTTTGTAACGATAACATTCAGAGCTTCCCTCCTGATCCATGCTTCGCTTAGCCAAGATTATAAATAATTTAGATGATATGGACTGGTATGCCGAATACAAAACACTTGAAAAAAAAATTATTGAACAAATTACGAACATGTCCATTTAAGGAAGTAATAATTATTTAATCCCACGGTGTTTCTTATATTATCAAAATTATGTAATTATTTAATAGTAATTATCCTTGTAATTAGGCCAA